TATCTTCCAATTGTGTCTTCTTTTGAACCCTCTAGGCCTTAATCACAGCATTCCTACACTATAAACTTTTTCATGTTGACTGTATCCTTGCCTCACTCACATGGTTACCAGTAGTGAGGATAGAAGATCAAGGACAGCACTCTCATTGGGGCAAGAAATGTCTTTCACTTATTGGGCAAGGATTAAGTATGTCACTATGTTGAATAAAAGCAAAACATGACATCAATGAAAAGGGAATATTGGCTTGGCATTTCTATAGTCAGGAAAAGCCTTGGAAGAGGAACAAGAGGGTCTAGCACAAAGATTATATAACTGAGCTTGCACACGGAGTTTGCATAGGGATGGTATGACTGCCCTGGGTACCAGTAACAAGGAGATGGGGCTGGACTCCAGGATTAATAAAGGACTTCTACAGCTACCCATGCCTCCCTTTGTGCTCCTCCTGAACACAGACAGGGAGAGTTCATGCCTAGGTTAACATAGGTGACTCCAGTACAAAGATCAGCAGTATACCAGTAGCCCAGAGCCCCGAAATCATCCAATGTTAGTGAAAATCACTTTTAAATCAGTGAATCAGCACCAATCTGGTGGCCCAAACTTGTGAGACCCTTGAAAAAAATAGTGCCCTGGTCAGCAGGCACTTTGGCTAGCCAAGCAACCCTCCAGGGATTAGCACAGCCATGATTCCCTAGGCCATCTCACAGATGCCAGCCCTGGAGTTCCTGGGACATCCAATGCCCCCAAACACAGTAAGAGAGAAGTATTACAGAAAGAACCCTATAGGGGATAAACAGAAAATACTAGGACCAAGGCTTAAAGTGCCTTCCAGAAAGACCCTCTGATCTGAATGGTACCCCCCTATCAGGAAGCAACAGAACATTTCAGGGTTTTCATTGTCTAGGACACACCCAGGACTGGTTTAGGGTGGTCCAAAATATAAGGAAGGCTCTCAAAAGCACAGCTGGAGCAGGGCCAGTTAAGAGCCCAACTTCCTCAGGTCTAAGAATGGCCATTGTGTCTGTCTTTTGAATTAAATAAAAAGAAAAGTTGGTCTGACAAGAGAAATGAATGATGTATACAGAGCATGCCAAGCAAGAGACAGAAAATATGTTGTTGGGGTGGGGCAGGATGGTACATCAAACATCCCTATAGAAAGAATGCACCCCCTTCCTTCCCCCACTTTATGGGGAAAAGGAAGTTTCTTTGATTGTGCTTACTTGAAATTAGAGAGCCCTAATACAATGTCCAGAGACAGATTTTGGGCTAATAAGTTTAGAAACCCAACTTTACAATTTGTACTAGAGCTAATTAACTTCTCAGTGACCAATATGCTAAAAAGACCCATCAGAATCTGATATGCATGTCAGAATCCAAATTTATCAATCTATAAAGAGAACTTAGGTTAAAAGAATAATTTTTATGGACAATTCACTCAGGGTATTTCAGTGTAAATTAAAAGTATTCAGGAGAGAAAACAAAATTATCAACTGGAGAATAGTTTGGTGAACACATAATTAGAATAAAAAGAATGGGTAGTCTTGAGGGACATTTCTTTCAAGTTAGGACAGTTGAATGAAATTTGTTCTCTATTCTAGGAATATTCCTCTGGAAATATAGCTGAGAATACCCCAGACATATTTATACTATGTTCATACTATCCTAGAGTTTACTGTAGAGGATTTTCCTGTTGATATATGACTCTCCCAGAAAAGTTTTACAAACAACAGTTAAATAACTTGTTATAACTATATACCATTTACCACATGTAGTATTATCACTCTTCATATCCCCTTCTAGTCACTACCTTCTCCTCATTCTTATGAGTAATCACTACCCTAGATTAATTCCTTTGCTATTAAACTTCATATAAATGGAATCGTAGTGTGTGCCATTTTGTCTCTGATTTCTTCACTTCAATATTGTATTTGTGAGTAACATCCATGCTATTAAATGTAGTATAATCTATTATTCGTATTGCTGTATTCCACTGAGTGACTACATGACTATTTATTTATTAAGGCTACCATTGATAAACAGCTGGGAAGCTTCCTGCTGGGAATAATATGAATAATGCACCTATGAATATTTTTATGCTTGCTTTCAATGAACAGACATGTATTTCTTAGTGAATATACTTACAAGGAATTTTAGAGTCATAATGCACGCATATGTTGAGATTCAGTAGATTCTGACATTTTGTAAAGTACAAATGTTCCTTAACTTATGATGGGGTTACATGGTCATCATTAAGTTGAAAAACACAAGAAACCCATCATAAATTGAAAATGCACCTGACTTATAAACACCACATTTAATAACACTGTACAATGTAGGGTATCAGTGGTTTACCTTTGTGATTCTGTGATCCTTGGGAACTGAAGCTCTCTACTGGTACCCAGAATCATAAGAGAGTGTGCACTGAATAATGCCAGACTGAAAAAAGATCACAATTTAAAATGTGAAATACAGTTTCCATTGAATATATATCACAGTCACACCATCATAAAAGCAAACAAATCATAAATCAGACTACCCTAAGTTGAAGACCATCTGTAGGTCTATGAAATTGACACTTCTACCAGCAATGTATAAGAATTCCAGTTGCTCATCTGTTGTCCAACTTTGTACAGTCTGAATTTTTCATTTTAATGGAAGTCTAGTGGCATCACATTTTAGTTTTAATTTGTATTTTCCTTACTTGCAGTGCCAGCCAAAGTGGAGTTACCTCCCTATAGCCTTTCTTTCCCACCTATTACAGTGAAAAACTCAGAATAAAACATACAAAGCCACTGCTTTGTTTATTCTGAGAAGTAAACAAAAACAGGCAAATTGGGACAGAGAATCAAAATGTAGAGAAATGATTTGTGAGTATGGAGTGGAGCTTTTACCTGAGGCCTGAAACCTAGTGAATATGTAATAGCAGCACAAGCCACATAATTGAGAAAACTCCCCATCTTTCTGGTCAGAGGAATAGGAGAAATGGACTTTCTTCTTTTTTAAGACTTCTGTGAGTTAGAAGTTTGCGGAGAAATACTTAGCTTTTTTTCCATTTTTTCTGTTTTCTACCCCTCCTCCCTGCCAAGGATGGGGGTGTAGCCCTGCATATTTATGAGAAACAGTATTTCTACAAGGCACTGGGCAAGGAGGCCTCTGTGACTTGAAGGGTGTGGAAGGAAATCTCACACTTTTCTCTCTTTTCTCTCATCACTTTGCCTCAGGTTAGGTCTGTAGCTATGACAGGCAGCTAAAACTCCAAGACAAACCTAATATTTCTTACAAAGGACCAATAAAAGGGGATCTTGTAAGACAGAGAGTGTCAGAGGAATATAAGAATAGAGAGAACTAGAAAAGGGGATTCCCTCATTCTATGTATGAACCCTCACAATTTCTGTACTGATACCAGAACTGAGCATGTGCAAGACAGACCAATGCAGCACAGCAAATGACCTGTAAACTGAGCACAATTTAAACTACTGTCAAAATACCAAAATAACCCCCTAAGTGTTGTATGTATTGGATAGACTCAAAGTAGCACAGCAAAGACTTTGAGAAGCCAACTAACATGGAACCAGGCAAGACTAACTCACAGACAAGACTGAACTTGTGATCTGAACCAAACTGGATTAACTGCTTACTAAAACAAAACAAAACAAAAATCAACATTTCTTAAAGGCTTTTATCCAGAACAGGGTGTGTACAACACAATAATTCAAAATGTCCAGGATAAAATTCACGATCACACAATATAAAATAACTGGAAAAATGTGACCAATTCTCAAGGGAAAACAGAATCAACAGCTGCCAACTACTAAACTAAGAATTACCAAACAAAGATGTTAAAGCAGAAATTAAAACTAAAAAGTTTAGCGATTGTCTCATATATATGAGAAATTCTTGAAAACATCTTGATTTTATGTACCTGAATCCACGCATAAGAATACTCATACTAGTGTTGTGAGTAATGGCAAAACCTGGGAAAAGAGATAAACTGTCACAAAAAGGAAGATTATAAGTATATAGAACTGAAATAAATGAACTACAGCTATATTTGTTCACATGCAATCACCTAGGATAAAGTTAGAAACATTAACATAGCTCGTAAAAAAAAGATTATATAACAATTAATTATCCTGTAGCCCACCAGTTTATCAAATTAAACATGCATGTACTCAAAATAATTTTAAAATTTTTCTTTTAATCTTTTTTTCTTTTGAAACAGGGTGTTGCTATAGCCCGGGCTGGCCTCAAACTCATGAGCCACCTGACTCAGCCTCTCCGGTGCTGGGATTACAGGTACGCCTCACTATATGTTACAAAGTAAAAATTTTAAAAAGGAAAGGGACATACCCAAAATATAGGAAAGTATTACACCTGGAAAAAGGAATGGGATCAAAAAAGACTGGTGATTTTAACAATATTGTAAAATACAGACCTAAAGTTACCGGTTGGTTGCTTTGAGTGCACTGCTTACTATTTTACGTGTCAAAAAATTAGGTTTCTAAACGACGTCCCTTGTGAACAACGATAAAAGAGGGTTTCCCTCCTTTATTACACTAACTTTTCCAAAATCTTGTACAACCCACCTCACCAGACTCCCCAACCTAAGCAACGTAACTTGCCGTTCCAGGGCCCTGAACTGATCACAGTCATTTCCGCCTCCGCTCCGCCTCGCTCCGCCCACCTAAGCGGAAGTAGTTTTCTTTTGGGTCCTCCCGCCTATAGGGGGCTCTCCGAAGATTCCAGTGCCACGAAGGCCTCCTGCCTGCGCTGTCCCAACACCGCCTGTTAATTTAACCGTAGAAAAGACATTATATTATAACTTTCCGGCCAGGAAATAATCGTACAAGCATCTTAGTCTACACAATAACGTTCAAACTCAGCCCGGGCCTAGTGTTGTCAATATCAAACCCTGACGCAGTGGTGGGCGGTAGTCAGGCGGTGCGAGGACAACTCTGAGGCGCTGAAAGTCCCCAGCCCGCTTCCTCCTGTGAAGACGTAGCTGCGGGTGGCTGTGGGCTGGTGATAGCTGTGGCGGCGTCCAAGATGTCGACCAAAAATTTTCGAGTCAGTGACGGGGACTGGATTTGTCCTGACAAAAAGTGAGTCCCTGAAGGGTCCAGAATTGGGGCAGAGTATATCAGCTGAGTTTTCTCAAATTGGTTCGGCATTTTTAGTTCGTAACCTCCTCCTCCCGCGCCACTAGCCGAGTCTTGGCGGCGAACCGCCGGCTCCCGGGCGGGAAGGAGGCGCCCTGCCTCCTCTTGAGAACGGTCTTCTTTTGGGGGTGGGGGCTTTGTGTGTGGTTTATCGCCATCGTTTCCTCGCCGTTATTTTACCGAGCTAGCCTCGGTCCGGGAGGTGGGGGGGAAGCGCCTGCCCTTTCGCCCCACGCCTCCCCCGCGCCGCCAGGTTTCCGCGATAAGGAAATCTCCTGGTCGGCCCTCCGTGCTCGGATGGCCCCACGTGACTCCTGTAGAACTTTAGTCCTGCTCGCCGAAAGACTCTTTTCCCGCACCCGTTCATTCGCCACTTGCGTTTCCCCTTGTTTAGTGTTTTTAATCAGGCTTTTCCCTTGTACCATCTATTCCTCTACCTCTGGCTTTTCCTGTAGCTGGGGGAATTCTGATCGTTTCTCTTCACTGACCTTTAATTTCGCACAGGAATTGAGCTTTTAGCGCCCTATTGCCCAAAACACAGGAGACCTGTGGGTTTTGTTTTTTTTTTTTTGCCTTTTCGGCCAAGAAAATGCCTGAGCACCAGTGTTAGTGACTGCTTTTTGACATTGTTGCTGAAGCCGGTGTGCTCTTTAGAACTGTCAGTCACACCTTCGTGAACGATGCACGCAAAGGTGTACCTATTTGTAAACATCAGAAAAATTGTAATGCACCACTCATGTTCAGACAAAAACTTTTTTCTCCTTAAGTGAGCCACAGATAGGAATTCAAGGTAGAAAAGAGCAAAAAGTGTTTTAGTTCTACTTGTATCACTTGTAACCATCTGAAGTATTTTTATCTTTGCTGTAATGTATGGTTAGAGTTGCTCCCTTATAATGAACACTTGAATAACATGGATAGTGTATGTAGACAAAGGTAGTGTGTGGGTAGATCAATATTAAGATCTGAGGAAACTCGAGTCTTACTTATGATACTGAATAGAACAAAAGTTAAGTCGGGAATATCATTCCTATGAGTAGTATGACACTACTGAAAACATTTAAAAGCTTTAGAACAACTTCTGACTTTGTGGTGTTGCTCACCTGTAGAATAATGTGCTGTTGTCTGTGTCTGTGTGTCCTTAATGACAACACACCCAAAGGATTCTTACAGAGTGACATGAGCATATTCCTGTGCATTTAAATTCATTTACAAAAGTAGAATATTCTATATGTATACGTCCAGAAGACATTTTCAGAGTACGTTTTCAGTGCTTATTGGAGTTGTAAATATTTCTTAGAATAAAAGTTACTCCAGGTGTTTCAGTTTAGTGTTACAACATTTCACATCTTTATTTCATTCTAATGTAACATAAAAGAGTTTTTTTCTTTTAATCATTACCTGTCGTTCAGAGCATTTAACATGCTTTTAATTGATGTAGATATGTACTACCAAGGTCATGTTAGTGAATAGATATATTTTTAGTTTTACATTTGTTAAATGTAAACATAAAGTTATACTGTTTTACTCCATCAGTTATTGTTTGTGGTTGTGTTATTTTTTTTACTAGGTCTCAAGTTTGGTAAATACTCCATAAAACTCAATTTCCTTATTACTGAATATGTATTTTTATCGCATGCAACCTTTCTTCCTTACCATCTCACTTTCTTCCTGAAAAAGAGCATTTCGTCAAGATTTATGAAGTTCCCCTTTCTCTGTTTTCCCCCATTGGGGTCCCTACGTTTTTGTATTTTAAAAGCTTATCACATTTTTGTATATATCTTGTTATTCCTATACTGAGAGTTAACTTTGGAGTTTTATTTATTTATTTTTAACTCCTTGGTGCCTTGTCAGTAATTACTGAAATGGAGTCAACTCTCACTTCAACTTCCAAAGGGATTTCATTATAATTAGTGAAACATGCTAATATAAAGATACCAAGGCACAAATCCTCAGTGATTTAACCATGGTCACATAAATAGTATATATAAGATTAGGTGGGTTTTTTTTTTTTTTAAATCCTGGATTTGTGGCTCCAAATCTTTTTTTCCCACTAATTTTAAGGTTTTTGTAGTTAATGTTAGCATTAGCATGACTGAGATGGATTAGAAGTTCTGTATTCCAGATATGTAGTGAAGATATTAAGATTTAAATATTTAAAGAGTTAAAATGTTTCTATACTTTGTTTTCAGGTGTGGAAATGTAAACTTTGCTAGAAGAACCAGCTGTAATCGCTGTGGTCGGGGTAAGTACTTAAGGAAGATTCTATTCCTTTTATACAGTTCATTACTTTCACCACATTCATATTGCATTATTTTTCTGTTTTCAGAGAAAACAACTGAGGCCAAGATGATGAAAGCTGGGGGCACAGAAATAGGAAAGACACTTGCAGAAAAGAGCCGAGGACTATTTAGTGCTAATGACTGGCAGTGTAAAACGTATGTGCTTCAAATTATTGTCCATTATTCCAATGATAATGTATATTATACACTCTTACTAATCACATCGAAAGGCCATTGTATCCTTTGAAATCAAAGGACTTGACTGTCCATTGTTTTTCAATACGAATTTTATGTTCTCTTTTTTTGCATGTTTCAGAGCTGTTAGTTGTTACTATTAGGGATTATACATACCAGTAAAGTGAATGAATGTTTATGGTGAGTTAATAAAGGATAAAGAACATTACAAATACTAAGGTCTACTTTCATTTTAATTTTTCAGAAAATTTTAGTTTCTTGTCATTTCTATAAAATACATAACAAAATTGATTACGTCTATTTACAAAGTAATTTTAGAATCCTAAGTTGCCTGCCATAAAATATGAGGTAAGTTTTATTTTCAAGTTTAGATTCGGTTTGTTATTGATTTTTCCAACTTCAGATGGATCCTACATATATGAAAGAGGACTGAATCAGAAATGGTATTACATAAATTTTTTGATCTTACAGATTTTAAAAACTGGTGAAATTTCCTATAATCAGTTTAAGTCACAGGATTCTGTATTCTTGGAATTCAGTGTTCAAAGTGATTGGGGGGGGTGCTAAATTATTTGAAGGGTATGATGTTCTCCTTTGAGATGAATTCAGAGACTGAAAAAACTTAATGGGATCTTTAACTTAAAATGATGGTTTTTTTCCTATGGTGGTAAAATCTGTATTTAAAATTTGTCGTTTCTTAAATTACAGAGTCACTTTTTATATTGAATAGCTTTTGTTCTCTGCCTAAATAGTTCAGTCCATTGTTGGAATCCATGTTCTCCAGACCAGTGTACATTTTGTATATTTCCATCATACTTAAACTTTACGGTAGTGATTTCATCTTTAAATTCTAAGATGTCTAATAATTTAGTATTTTTCTGATACCATATTAACAGCCCTCTCATTTGGTATTTTTCACTATTACAGTTGCAGTAATGTGAATTGGGCCAGAAGATCAGAGTGTAACATGTGTAATACTCCAAAGTATGCTAAATTAGAAGAAAGAACAGGTAAGATGCAATCATATTTTGCCCAAATGATTTCCAAAAGACCTGAAAATTGAATTACTTGCCATGTCACCTTCTTTAAAGAGCACAGTGATGACTAAGGATCACTATTCTGGTTTTTGCTGGGATTATAAAGTGCAGTGATAGGAAGTGCTATCCTAACAAATAGTGATCCTAAGATAGGATGCTTACCTACTCTCACCCATACTGGTTTAGATGTTTGTTAATTGGTAATTATATGATACCATTATTTTTTTCTTTTGATAGCCTAGTATGGCCAAAAGGGCAGACCTTATAAATTTTTCTCTAAAAGATAGGCCATAATTTTCAAACTTGGCTATGTATTAGAATCATCTGGTAAACTTGAAAAATAAGAATTCCAAAGCACAGAACTGTCATTTCTTTGCTGGTGGGTCCGTTGTCACAATTCTTTGGGGGCCGATACCAAAAGCATATAGGTTATTTTGGTGATGTTTGGTAGCCAGTCATTGACTTAAATAACAGCTAACCATTGGCTCTGTGTTATCAATGGTGAAATGAAACTATCTGACAGAATATAATTTTCCTATTATCATCAATTAGCCCACCCACATTGTCTACTTTGGATCTGATTTCATCAAATAGATACCTTTACTCTGTTTTCTGGGGTCAGAGGCCCAGTAATGAATCATTTGGACCTAGCCCTTCTAGTCTTCTTACTTTTATTCTCCCACCCTTTTTTTAAAAATGTATATTCATGCATATGAGCACATTTTACCCTAATATCCTAGCTTTTTTCAACCCTCAAGTTCCCACTTATTCTTAGGAAGTGATTTTTGCCTTTATGCTGATTGGGTAAGTTAAGGCTGGCTGGTTTTTTTTTTTTTTTTTTTCAGTTGGTGGTACTGGGGTTTGAACTCAGGGCCTCATGTTTGCTAGGCAGGCACTCTACCACTTGAGCCACCTTGCCAGCCCCAACCAAGCCTGTCTTACTTTATTGTGTCATTTTTTTTCCACCTCTCATTGGTGTTTTGTCTCCTTCACACTTTGATTCTGTCTCCTTTGTAGGCTTCTTGGGATTCCTCAAGGCTCAGTCCTCAGGCTTTCTTCTTACCCTTTATTTTCTAGTTATTTTCTTGATGTCACAAAGTTTTATATAGTAGTAGTCATACTATGATGCACTAACTCTCCAGCTCAGACTTCTTCTTTGACCCAATTAATTGCCTATTCACCATTGCCATATAAATGTCAAATTCAGTACATTCTAACTGAATTTGTGATTTTTCCCCAGGACCTGCCTCTCTTCTAGTGATCTTTCTTTCTTCATAAGTACCACTCATCATAACACTCATTAACATAAACTGGAAACCTAAATGTACTCCTTAGCCTAGCTAACTCCTCTTCTACCTCACCCCTACCTTTCAAAAAAGTCTTTTTCGTTACATTCGACACCATTATGTCCTGTCACTGACAAATAGGCACCTCGCTAGTCTTAATGTATTCCCCTACTGCCCACTTGTAGCCAGAGGGATTTTGTTTCTGTTTTTCTGTTTCTTGGGATTTTTTTTCCCCCTACACTGAAAACTTCTTTTGTTTTAAAACCCTTTTGATTGATTTAAGATTAAAGTTCAAAGTCTTTAATGGTTATAAAAATTGTAATCTCAGAAAAACCTTCCTTTATTCAGATTGTCCTTGATCATGTAGTGACTCCTTAAATACCCACTGTAGTAGAAGCTATAGTCTCAAACTACAGTAGGCAGAGTTTATGTTTGATAGACTCTTCTCACTTTCCTTTACTCATTTTCTTTTCATCATTCTGGTGTCCTGAACCTTTTGTACTTCACTGGCAACAATATTTGCTGTTAACAGTTGAAGGTGTCAAGTAACTTCTCTTGATTATTTGAAATAAACCTGCTTATCGTTTATGAGAGCGTTGGGATTGGATTTAAAAGAAAACTTGACATGCTACTTGTGAGTACGATTGCTGACTGCTGCATAACTCCATCATATTGGACAGTAACTTACCTAGCCATTCTCCTGGCTCATTGAGACTTAAAGTTACTTCAATTTTTGTCTTTTTTTTTTTTTAAACTATTAAAGAATGACTTCATAGAAGCAATCTGAATATATTTGGATTTTTATTCTTTAAAATTATTTCCTTAGGATAAATTCTCAGGAGTTGAATTAATCTTTCAGAAAATAGAGCACATTTTCAAGTTAGCGAATTCTTTCTTTGAAATACGTAATAGTCACCACCCTTTGTCTCTTCATTTCCATTGTCACAACTCTAATCCAAACCATCATTTCAAAACTGTGTTTGATTTTTATTGGCCCTTGTTCAGCTATTTTACTTTTTAGTGAGACAATTTGAAAATATTTTCTTATAAGACTTTTAATGTAATCTAAATTCATCTATTGAAAAAATAGAAGCCATTGTGCAGTGTGCTAGGGCACCTCGGTGCACAAAATAGACATGTACAACCAGATTACTAAGTACTTTTTGAAAAAGCTGTGTTTAAGCTAAGAAGTGAAAGGAGAGTTACCCAAATAACAATTTGAGGAAAAATTCATTTACCAAACAGCTTTCATGAAGGCCTTGTCACTTGACAGAATTTAGCTTATTTAATGAGCTCCTAGTTAGCTGCAGATAACACTTCAGATCCAGGCAGAGGCCATATAAACCATAGTAAGTAGTTTATGTTTTATTAATATGGGATAGGAAATATTTAGCAAGAGGTGACTGGATTTAATTTTCTTAAACACTGAATGAGAGAGCAGAAAATAGCTTTGTATTTGCTGTGGCATTTGTTTTGAAATAATTTTATTTAGGTATCTTTGTAAAATGACTTACATGAATTACAGTTTACTTTCTCATGTTACTGTATGGTTCTTTAGATCTCTTCATACTTGCTGTATTATTTTTCAATTGTACATTACTCAGTGTGTAAAAAGAACTCTATGAACAGTAAAGCCACTTCTATATTACTTCATTATGAACTACGTTGTCCAATTTAACAGATGTTCCTATATATACCACATAAATTTTTAAAAATTTATTGGTCTACTTCTAAGTATTTTAAGTTTTTTCATTGACTCAATCTATAATGAAAAGAAAGCAATACTAGGGTTCAGATTTCTCCTGTGTATGCTAAACTGGCACTCTTAACACTTGAGCAACCCCACCACACCCTTTAGCCTTTTTTTTTTTTTTTTTTTTCACTTTGTTAGGATCTTGCATTTTTATCAAGGGTGAGCCTTGGACTTTGATCTTATCTGTGGCTTTTTGCTGGCATCATAAGCATGCACCACCACACCTGGCTTACTGATTGAGATGGGGTCCCGCTACCTTTCTGCTGTGGCTAGCTTTGAACCATGTTCCTTCTGAGTAGCTGGGGTTACAGATAAGATCCACATTACCTGTTCAAACTGTCTTTTTGGCGTTGTTTATAACTGAGATTTGAACTCAGGGCCTCTAAATTGCTAGGCAGGCTTGCTGGCACTTGAGGCACTCGAGGCACTCCCCCAGCCTTTTTAATACACAGTTGGCCAAATTAAAACCATTTTATTGGCTCGGGTCTGGAAATCACTGCCCTTGTGCTAGTATTACTGTTGATAGATTGTGTTGATCTTGATCACATCTCTTTTAATTTCTTTTTAGTGGAAGACTTATTCAGAATCTCTCATTGCACTCTATAACTAGGTCATATTCTTATTTCAGTCTCTTAAGTTATGTCAAAGACCGAACAATTTGCTACAATCAAATTGTAAACATTAGTTATAATAACAGAATAGCGGTTGGCTAATCTTAACTTTTAGTAGAATACTTCTAATTAGTAGCAGGTTTATGGCCTAACCTGAGTGACTTTTAGCTATGCACTAAAAGCCAATTACATTAAAACTGACTAAACCAAGGTCAAAGGCTAGCTTTTTACCATGTTGCTGTATTTTCTAAGTTCTTTTACTGGTCCTTAACATTTTAGCTGAGCAGAATTTTAGTTTATCAAAAAGATGTCAGAGCCGTTGCTGGTGGCTCACACCTGTAATCCTAGCTACTCAGGAGGCAGAGATCAGGAAGATTGTGGTTTGAAACCAGCCTGGGGAAATAGTTTGGGAGACTGTCTCAAAAAAAAAAAAAATCACACAAAGGGGGTGGGGGAGGGTCTGGGAGAGTGGCCCAAGGAGTAGGCCCTGAGTTCATACCCCAGTTCCACAAATAAAACAAAAACATGTCAGACTACATCCAGCTGGTAAACTGAAATTTGATTGATGGCTCTTAATGAGTTCACTTTTCCCAGAACAATTATGATGAAGTACAGTGGAAAGTCTTTTTAACGCTTGCTTATAGCAGAAGTTTAAGGAGATGTTTTCCACCTATATCTTCCTGTATGACCTAGTCATACAGAAAATTTTGAAATTGAGCTAAAGTATAGCCCTGACTTTCTGATTAGGATAACTTTGAGATTGTTTTCTGTGGTGATTTTTAACTTTAAAACACTGTAACTTAATAATTTAGGCAACTGCCATTGATTAGATTTTCTGTTTCTGTGTCCTCTTAAGGATATGGTGGTGGTTTTAATGAAAGAGAAAATGTTGAATATATAGAAAGAGAAGAATCTGATGGAGAATATGATGAGGTAAGTTCTATTGGTGTACGGATGAATGATAAATTATAGAAACACTAGAAAATATCTTTAGTGCACAGGAAAATTTTGAAATGACTCATTTTTGTAAGTAGATTTTGAGTCTTTTACAGCAACTTTATCATTTTGTGGGAAATAGTGACTTTAATGTATGATTTTTTTAAAGAAAATAGTAATTTTAATACATTTTTAGTCTACAAAAATGTTTTGAAATGGCTTTTCTCTAGTTTGGACGTAAAAAGAAAAAATACAGAGGGAAGGCAGTTGGTCCTGCATCTATATTAAAGGAAGTTGAAGATAAAGAATCAGAGGGAGAAGAAGAGGATGAGGATGAAGATCTTTCTAAGTATAAATTGGATGAGGTAAACAGTTTCCTTGTTGTTTCCCCTTTGTTTTATTTGAAGTGTTACATAAAATATGAATGCTTTTGACAATCTGTGGTAAAGATACATTGTCAAGAAAGTTTTGAACTTCCACTCTGCTGAGCCCAGTGTTTGCTTTGAATATATAATAGTAACCAAGACAGAGTCATCCTTCTCCTACTAAATTCTGGAGGCGGGCAGATACAAATGAATAGGATAGCTTAGGCAGCAGTGATGTTATGAAGATACATTGTGTGGTTAACAGGCAATTAAAAGAAGTTCTTTGGTTTATTTCTAAGGAGATGAAATCTGAACTAAGACTTGAATGATTTGAAAGTGCTAGCAAGAAACAGGTGAAAGCTCATTCAGGCAGAACAACAAATAGTTTCTTTAAATCAGGAACAAGCCAGCAACATTTAAGAGAGAACTTTGACACAGAGGAGAGAATAATCAGGATACCACCCACTTTAATCTGGTGATGTTTGTTCTGTGGGACCAGAGAATTCAGGGTACTTTGGAATCTAATTGATCTTGAGGGGCAAAATAGTCTTCAAGAGTTGGGAAGATAACCTAAGAGGTTGCTGTAATGTAAAAGAAAAAAAAAAGTTGCAAATTGAGACTAAGGGTAATGGGCTCAAGGGACTTTTTAAAAGGGAGATAGAATTGAACATTCTTGACAGCTAATTTGTATTAACAATGACACACAGTAAATGATTAGGACTTCTAGGCGTGCCACTGAACTGTCCAATACAGTAGTCAAGTCTGTTTAGTTGAGAAGAGGAATTTAATTAGGTGAATTCCAGAATTAAGAATGAATTCGCCTTAATTTATTAGTAAAATTTCCATGTGGAGATATCTAGTACACAGAACTGTTCCTGATAAATATCTACATGTAATTGAATTTTTATTAGGATGAGGATGAAGATGATGCCGACCTCTCAAAATACAATCTTGATGCCAGTGAAGAAGAAGATAGTAATAAAAAGAAATCTAATAGACGAAGTCGTTCAAAGTCTCGATCTTCACATTCACGATCTTCATCACGCTCATCCTCCCCCTCAAGTTCAAGGTCTAGGTCCAGGTAAACGGGCACAGGTCAAGGGTAACACCAGTCAAAATGTCAGTATCTAACTTCTTTATTTATAATTTTTTTTTAACTAAATAAGCTTTCCTTTGTATTTTAAACATTTCATTCAAGTCACTTTTTAAAATACTTCATCTTGGTTCCACGTAGATACTCAGTATATTCAGGAGTGTAAAATCTTAATACGAAATTTCCATATCCTGTTTTAGTATCATGCCTTTTACTAAAATAGACTTCAAATTCAAATCATTGCATGCAGTGATATTTAGTAATCTAAATAGATAGCTTACATTTGGACTTTTTTTAAGTGAGTGAAGTAAAAATCATTTTTCAGTATGTTAAAGGCTAATCTAGAGATTATCTGGGCATTAATGAAACATAATTTTTTAATTGTTTACTTTGGCATCATTTTGAATAAAGTAACACACTCAGCCATATTAATTCTATTGACTCGATGCTAATAGTTTTGGGGTGTCCACAAGTAAAGTAGAACGTTAAGTTGCTGTTACGCTTGAGCATTCTTTTGCTTGGTATTCTAAAATACATATCCTCTGATTTTATACTATAACAATAAAATTTTAGCTGAGAAAAAACAGTACCTTAAATAGCATTCTCTTAAATCCTATTGAGAGTTAAATAATACCATAGGCAGTGAGTTTTAGCCATTTAGGAATAAAATACGAGCTGACAAGTACTGAATAGTTGAGTACTATGAAACCTGAAAGCATTAAAAGTGATTATAAAGAGTAATTTTGAGATAAAACTAACGTTTTCTCTCCATGGATAAGTTAAAGATGTGTGTTAAAGAATTTTATTTTTGAATTTTTTTAATTCAAAAGGACTGTCACCCCTGTGCTGTGTATTTTCAATAATTATGTAAAACAGTGAAAGGATTATTATATATTCTCATTTTAATTATCTAAGTTGAGTAAATGGAAAAACATAGGGAGGGATCATATGTGTGTATATGTATCAACATTTAAAGCTTCATGCTAGCTAGACACCAGGGAAATAGGAGTTTTATAAATGACAGAAAACATTCCAGAAGATTTAAATGTAAACCACAGCATTCTAACTGGATATATTAATGGGTAGCTTCTAATTGATTATTAGTGGACGTAAAGTATTCATTGTCTTTCTAATAAAATGGTAGGGGTTGCTGTTTACAGTATATTTGTTTTAGGGTAATTTAATCACACTTACAAAGTGGTACTTTGTTAAACTTTTACTAAAAGACTGAAAATATTTTGTTTGGAAAATACGTATCTTGCATAGATAACCTTTTTATATGAAAATGGACTCTAATGCATATCTTTCTTTCAAAAGGTATTCTATCACAAAGCTCAGTTAAGTGGTCCTAGGAAAAAAAAAAATGCTTCCATGTTGTTCCAGGTCCCGTTCAAGAAGTTCTTCCAGTTCGCAGTCAAGATCTCGTTCCAGTTCCAGAGAACACTCGAGATCTCGTGGGTCGAAATCAAGGTGAATGAGGTAGCATCTCTCTGTAAAACAGAGAGGAAAAATATTTAAGGGCTGCAGAAGGTGGTGTTGCTTCTTCCCCCCCAACCACCTTATTTTGCTTCTACTTGTCAATTTTATTCTAGCATTAGAGAACTAATGCACTTACTTCAGCTTAATTTTCTCCCCACAAAATGTTTCCATTGCCAGCAGTGTGCCAAGACATTCCCATGATTGAATTAAGGTGACTGTTTTGCATTATGCAAGTTGTTATTTTGGAGCGAGGATGTGATGAAGTAGGAAGGTGAAGCCACATCATATCATCATCACACCTCTAGTATATAAAGATAATGTTTGTGATACTGGTTCAAATAAAATTAGAAAGGTAAATGGAAAGGAAGAAGAGTACCCTGCTTCTAAATGGGCTTTGTTTTACAAGACAACATTGCTATTTTTATCAGATAAAATTTCTAGCAAGTGCTGTGTACGTATTTTTATTTCTCTGGCTTTATACAATGTTAAAATGGAAACAAGTGATATTAGTTTAGATAGAATATATCAAGCATTACTGTAAACTTTTAAGTTTTACGTGCATTTTTGTCAAACTTAATTATTTAGTCAAATCTGTAGAGGGAAACATTTGTAAAGAAGCAAGTGGAATACTAGTTTTTGCTCTCAAAGTTTCTCTACTTAGTCAAAATATGTTGCCTTTATTTTTAACTAAATTTATTGATTGCTAAAGGCAATAACAAATAAAACTACTGAAATCCCACTTGAGGAAATACACATTAATCAATTACTAACTTATTTGAGTCAAATCTAGCATTTGAGGGCAACTATAGTTTAATCATATTAAGGAGAAAAGAATGATGTGCACTCTTGCATTAACCCAATACAAAACAGAGAACAAATATTTTTTATTGTATTACTATGTTAGTCCTTTTATTTTAGTGCTTAATTTACAATCCTTAAGTTTTGAAATTCTCTTTGGGAACCACAGTAGTTGAGATTTATAGAACAGCCTTCACATTCTTCCCAAACATTTTTAATTGCTTACAACTTTCCAAAGAATTCTCCTTTGGGGCTTTCTGGTTTATTTTAAGCTCAAAGGTGAATTTTTTGGGATGTTTGAGCTAAAGTTCCTTCAGGCAAAATATGTAAATAAAGTAAATTGAATTTTAATATTACACATTTACTCCTACCTGAAACATGTCAATGTCAGCACCTCATATTTCATGAGTAGTGGTACTTCATGAAAATGAACATTGTGACTATAAATCAAGCTTTGAAGTTACTCATTTTTCTTTGAGTATTTAGCTATTTACTACAGTTACTATTTGTTTTCATTCGGTACCATAGGCTTCATTTTTCTGTAGCAACTTAACTAATGTTCCACAAGGAATTAAATTTGTTTTCCTCAGGAACCTGTATATAACATATTTTCTCCCTAAATGGAAGGATATAATTTCTAAACATAAAGTCACAGTATTGCAGTTACCTACTGATTTCACTGTTTATGTACTTTAAAATCAAAAGCCTTAAACAAATAGAAAATACTAAATTCTATGTTAATACAGTAAGCTAGTTTTCAGTTACCAGAAGTGAATACTTAGAATTTTAAAACGATATGAAATTAAAACAATTGTATTTAAATAGAATATTTTCATGGTTGATCCAGAAGTCTTCTGTTGAGTAAGCAGTAAGTATTTCTTCTTATAAAATTCTTATAGGTATAAATCCTGTTTATTTTTGGAAAGTGAATGCTCGTCTTCATTTCTTCTTTTAATGAAATATCTGATTTGTTTCTCAATCAATGAAGATCCAGCTCTAGGTCCCACAGGGGCTCTTCCTCCCCACGAAAAAGATCTTACTCAAGTTCTTCATCTTCTCCTGAGAGGAACAGAAAAAGAAGTCGGTCTAGATCTTCTTCACCTGGTGATCGCAAAAAAAGACGAACAAGATCACGGTCACCCGAAAGGTTTGGGTTTCTGTAGAAATAAGAATGGGTGTTAAGTGTATTTAATATTTCCTAGTCAAGGGTTAGATTTCTGTCTCTTGTTCTATTTTAAATTACACTTTTCATCTTTAAACTTAAAGAATCAGATTGCTTTGTTTAACCTAATACTATGATCAAGTTATTTAGAAAAGTTCCAGATCAAACCATTCTCTGATCATTTTATTGTTTAAATTCTTATTTCCATGTATATTAGTATAGCCAACTCTCGGTTATTTTTGTCTTTTAATTGCAACTCAGAAGCTGTATGTTGAAGTAATTTTCAGGTTGATTTTTATATTTATGCTATTTTAAATTAAACATTAGAAATGGTAGGAATTCTAGGGCATTTAATACAAGTTAACTTCCAAGATCGTTGGGACTCTGTCCTCATTTATGTATGAATGCATTTACATAGCAAGTTGCTTTGTGCCCTTCATAAGGAAATTATTCTTTGTAGGTTACACATTTTTCGTCTTATAGTCCAAATCCTTCTTTTTTTCATTTAAATAAGGACCTTTACTATATTACTTTACTGTATGATTAATTTTCTTAGTATCTAATACATAGTTATTTTGCTAACTTCATTTGTAATCTTTGCAAATTTTACATATCCTCTTAGTTTTTAAAAATAAGGATTATGTAAAGTCTGATAATAGCTGGGTTCAGTGATAGGATTATCTCATTCCTGCAGTACAGAATGATTAGAATTCAAAGTTTAGATGCTAAGATTACACACAATTAGTGTGTTTCTGTGCATTTGTTTCTTTGTAAG